ATATCTGAGGATATAGCAAAAAAATCTTTAAAATTTTTACATTTTCACGATTAAAATTTTCGCATTTTGAAAATAAAATTGATAGCAAAATTCAGTAGAATAAGCTTCCATGCATTCATTTTCATCTATCTTTCTTTACACTTCAATGAGAAAGAAAAATGCAACAAAAGAGAAAGAAAATCTGACAGCTTAATTCATCGTTTGTTTTGAACAAGCAGTTTTTCTATCAACTTATCCAAAGTGCTCTCATTTATTCTTCTTTCAAAACAAAAGAATTTTGATAAGAATTTGTAGTTGAAATTTCCAAGCAATATTACATTTACTATTTCATACAGCTTTAAATATCTATCAATACTTAATAAATTATGTGAGCTTTGATTTTCATTTTTGATATTATTATGAATTATCAGAATGCTTTCCCAGAATACAATACTCATATGAAGGCTAATTTTGTTAGTATTTTTTAATCTATTTCAAATGAATCATTTGTAATGATTGGCAATTTTCTAGTCCATTACATTCATTCTTATATTCTTTGAATATATCAACTGAAATTCAAGGAAAATTGTGGACACCTCAATTTGCATCTACCTGTTGTTATATGAAGAAAATGATGGCTATAGTAAGTTCTGATTGTTTATAATTTTATTTAACTTAAAATTGCTGTAAATTTTATGATTATAAATATATCACAAAATATCATCGAAAAAGTGACAGTGACAGAATTTTTCATTTTTCTCATATCATTCCTCATTTTGATTTGAAATGAAAAAATTCATTTCAGCTTTTCTTTTTGAACTTTATTTCATAGGTTTTAAATGAAAGATAGTAAGTAATAAATTATTATTTTAATCTATATAATAGAAAATAAACATTAAAGCAATACATAATCTAAGTCATTTATTTGCTGTATCAGTTTTAATACAAATTAGCAAATTTCACCAATGTAAAGTCCTATAAAATTAATAATCAGTATTATAAATCATCATATGTTCATTCCTTTTTGTGCTTTATATTTTCTGATAACGAATTATTATTTGATATTACTTTTTATATTTATTTCAATCTAAGAGAATGATATTTCAGACAAGTTGAAAATTTGATTGAATTTTTTTTGATTTAAATTGTGATTGGATATTTTTGATTTGGATTGTGAAGAAAACAGTGATAATAATAAATCATAATATATCAATAGATTATTTAATCCTAAAGAATATTTATGAAAATACATTGCAAGTGGGATTTGAAAAGTTTTACGAAGGAGATTACATTTAAGTATGAGGAACGTAGTGATCGGTTATCTGAAATTAACAAATAATAGTTCGTTGTTATTGCGATGAAAGCAATTATCGAAGTTGCTGCAAAACTTAATGTCATTCTTTTCATTTCAAAGAGTGAAAAAGCTCAATAAATCTGAATTGCTTTATGAGCTGACTAATGAGTAAATTGGAATTGCTTTATAAGCTGACTACTGAGCAGCAGAGAAAGCACTATTTTAAATTTATTACCTTCTTTTATTCTGCACAATAACAATGAACTATTATTTCTTCTATCGAATTAATGATTTGAAAAGAAAAGTGATTTGTGTACGACACAATGAACTAACAACGATCTTTCAAGTTGTTGAATGAAGGAATTTTTAAAAATCGAATGTCTAAGAAAAATGGATATGGCTATTTAATGATCTGTTGTCATTGCTACTCTTGAATTCAGACGAAACTAATACATTTACAAAGCATGCTCAAGCAATCAACAAGATAAATCGAAAATTACAATACTTTCTGATTAAATCTAAAGTATACATCAGAAGTTAAAATTATTTTGCTATGAAACTACGGATTCGTCATCCGCCTATCTCTGATCGCTAATCAATCAATCCTCGACAATGCTTTCAAATTCAGCAGATTATAAAAAAATAACTTCAGAGGTCATCGAATCACGAAATACGATTTTAGATGCTGTAAGAATGAAAAGTTTATTTCTTGAAAAATGAAAAGTTTAGTTTATTTCTTGTTGGTACAAATGACATTTCTTCTACTTATGATTTCTTGTTTTCGTTAACAAACTATATGTTCAAGTCTATTTATAATAATCTAAAATTCATTGTTCAAATGTTTTTTGCACTATTTCCAAAATATGTTAAATAGTAATTCTTCATTAATAGAAGAATTTACTAGTCAAAACGAAAAATCAAAAATTTAATTTCAACAAAGAAAGATGAAAATTTTAGAAGGTGAAAATGATATGTTTTTTCAAATTTAACCCTTAAAAAAAATAATTTTGAAATCTAAAATTATGTAAATGTCATTAAAAAACATCGTTACTCCAAATATCCAAAAGTACTACCTATTTTTTGATTTAATTACACATATAAATGTACGCATTTCTAATCAATAATGTTTGTTTAACTATTATAACGAACATTTAACTTCTGTAAAATGTGAATCCGACGCTTTCATATGAGTTAACCTAAAACATTTTTGAGTTTCATTTGACTATAAATAAGTTCATATCATTCTATCATCTCTTCTCGTTCAAGTTGCATTTAAGAAATATGCTGCATAGTTTAATTACTCTAAAACATTTATTAATTGCACGAAGTAATACAAAGTAATTGTACAATTAAGTCATATTTTATTGGATTATTGGATTTATTGGATTTTTCAGTCATTTAAATTAAATAATTCAGATATGACATCTGTTGTAGAAACTTTGGACAACGATCGATTCATATTTGAAATAATGAGTTTCCATTTCCATTTACTTTATCATTATAAATGCATTTGTATTTAGCACTTAAGTACATATCAGGCTGGGATATCTTATTTTTAACGAAGATAACTTATTAATAAAAATGATTGGGTAAGAACATTAGAAGGGGAATTTTGTTGCTTTCATGTTCTTTTCGTTTTTCATCTAATAATAAGTTTATGCATAATTTTGCACATTAAATTAGCAATTTTAATTTAACACAAATAATTCATTTATTTTTGATGGAATAAATTCATTCAAAATTCAGGTTTTTTTGACTATTAACATTTTATTTTTTCAATAGGATATTCAGCATTATTCATCAGACACCTTTTTTCTATTTAGAAATTAATTTTACAGTAGGATATTTAACATAATCCAACAGGTGCTTTCTCTATTTAGCCTTAATTTTGCAATAAGATATTCAATATTATCCAATAAGTGCTTTTTCTATTCAGCCCTTAGTTTTTCATGAAATGTTTAATACCTTTCAATAAGTGCTTTTTCTATTCAGCTTTTACTTTTTCATGAAGTGTTTAATATCTTCCAATAAGTGCTTTTTCTATTTAGCCTTTATTTTTTCATGAAATGTTTAATACCTTTCAATAAATGCTTTTCTATTTAGCCTTTATTTTTCATGAAATGTTTATACCTTTCAATAAATGCTTTTCTATTCAGCCTTTATCTTTCAAGAAATGTTTAATACCTTTTAATAAGTGCTTTTTTTTTACCTTTATTTGATCAATGATATTTTATCAATGAAATGTTCAACGTTATCAAACAGAAGCCTTCAATGCTTAGCCTTTACTTTTTTCACTAAGATGTTCAAAATTATCAGACAGCACTTTCAATTATTGATGAAGTTCTTTTTGTTTTTATTTTTTACCAGTCCCAGTATTACTCATTGTAAGTTTCAGCTTATATTATTGATTAAAACTTGTACACAATATAAAACAGTGTCGATAATCTGAAAATTATCTCCAATTTGTTGCTCAGCCTATCATTACTCGTAACTTTCTATTATTACTAACAAAGCCTAATTTCGAGTAATAAATTCCAAGATGTTTACAGTAGACAAGTTCCAAAACACAAAAGACAAGTTCCACCTTTTACAATTCCTTCCCTCCTCCCTCCCAATCGTTGTTTTAATGACTTCCCAAACGCAGGAACAGATACTGTAGTATATAGAAATACGAAATGAAAATTAGGAATCAAATCCCTCGGAAATAATTTTTTTTGAACATCCCTACTGTCTTAAAAATGTAATAGTGTATTTAGTGATATGATGAATAATAAATAACTCGGAAAGTCGTCAATGACGACTTTTAGTTAAAGCGCAGTTTTTATGTTATAAAATTAAAACTGCAGATTTTGCCAAATTAACTTTTGCATAGTTAGAATTTATGATCGCACAGATACAACTCAGAGAAATATTTCATAGAAATCCGAGTTATTCAAAGTTGAGGTTACTAGTTCAAAAAATTGGTAATTTTAAAGTCTTTAGTTTAAATTAGTCATGGCTTTCAACTATACCTTGAATTAGCCAATTTAGTTTATAGCTAGAAGTGTGTTGAAGATCAGAAATCAAAGAAAACTTGCAAAACTCCAGTAATTTTTTGAACGCTTAGAAGTTTCTATTCCGCAAAATCTATTATAAATGCTTGCAATTTACAAGTTCTTTTATAATGTGAATTTATTATCATTATAAAAGTTATAATGAGAATCATTATGAAGTTATAATGAGAATTTATTATCATTATAAAAGTACCTAAATACGACCTCTACACATTATAATGCCTTATTTTATCATTTTAAATGTGTTATAATTTAAAATATTTCATTTAATTGTTAAAATTTTTCGAATATTCGGAAAGTTGTGGGATTTTTTTCTTTTTTTGTAAAAATGAAGTAAAATTCTGGAAGAATAAGAAGAATCCTAGAGAAAGGCAGATTTAAAATTTCATTCAAAGATCAAAATGATAAGAGAACGAGAAAAGAATATTGGCATTCAGATAATTGACAACATAGTCAAATAGTATATACCAGAACCCCAATATGTTACTTCTTAATTTTGAGGCTTTCAATTTGTAAACATATAATAATTTTACTTCATAATTCAACGATCCTATCTAATCCGATTGATAAATTTATTGCTATCTTTGTCACAATCATGCGTGAAACTTTTCATCTCATTTGGAATTATATTCGTTTTTCAAAATTGTGATTTTAAAGCAATCATTATTTTAGATATGTTTTTAATATCAAAAATAGTACGGGGCAGGCGATTGCTGCATGAACTTGAAGCTGAAACGGAAAAAAAGACGGCGCGGGAAGCGGCTATGATAGAACCCTCCGCCATGATTATTCGGCAAAATACACAATCAGCTCGGGCGGAAAAATTTATGGGTGAAACATCACAGGTTTCTAAATTACTTTCAAACTTTCATTTCCGGATTAAATGCAACATTGTCGCGATACTGTAGAATTAGACGAAACAAACTGAAAAAAAGCAGAAATATAAATATATATTTTTTTGCTAATCAACTTATGTTAAAGCTCAAAATTTAAATTAAAACTTAAAACTTCTAATAAAATCAATTTTAAATTAGATCAATTCTCAGTCTGGAGTAGGAACATCTAATGCAAATATAACATATACAACAACTACGCCATCATCTTGCAGGTTTCATTTTTGTTTCATATTTACATTTATTAATTTTTTAAGATAATGAAAGATCTAATCTATGGTACTTCTATCGAGCAGTGAATACTTTAAGCATTAAGTAGTGAATTACTTAAATTCGAAAGTTAACAACAATTATTACTTTTATAAGAACTGACAATAATCTGATCTATCTAAGAATACAGCAACATTTCTAAATAAGCGAATCTAATAATGCAACAACATACCTAAATAACCGAATGCTCTTCCAATATTTGTCGTTTTGGACTTCAAAAGCGCACAATGTTACCTAACATCCTTATCTTTTCAATTCTTCTTTTCTGAATTTTTCTCAAACTTCTTAAAAAAAGTTCAAATTTTGTTGAAAGTTAAAAATTCTATTTCAAAAATTTGTTAAATTCTATTAAAAACTGTCATTTGTTTGTATCAATCTAAAGAACTATAAGATCTCTACAATCTCTATCGAAGATATAACCATTCAGTAGCGATCCTATATTTTATCAAAGTAATTTCATTTTTATTTTAATTATCTTTCAGTCAAATGTTTTTATATTATTACGATAATTTGCTTGAGTTTAATCATTTGTTTGTTATTTTATGATTATATTTAGGGAAATAAATGATATAATGCAGTTTTTTTTATATTGTTTCATTTAACACTTACTTAAAATCTTCAATGTTAAAAATATCGTATACTTAAATTTTTAATTGATAACTTAAAATTGCTTCAATTTTCCATATGTGGAAATTCTTTCGTGAATTCTTAATTATTATTTAATTCATGTATATGCAACAAATATACGAATCATTTCATAAATTTCACTTTTTCATTTCATATTTATCCATTTCATTCATTATTTAAAAGTGTGGTAAGTATTATTTCAAATTTTCATATTGTACATGCCGATTTAAAACAAATATGAATGTTTGATAAATATTTAATTCATTTTCATTCAAAGTTTCAATTAACATTTTAAAATTAATTATTCATTGAGATTTCGATGATTAATAATTAAAATATAAGAATAATTGTTGCATTTCTTTTCTTATAATTTTTATTATTTTACATTTCTCAAAGAGGAAATAATAATAAATAGAATTTGAAATGAAAATGAAAAATGAAATTTTTCGGAAAGAAAATAACGAAAATAATGAATAGAAATAGAAATTGAAAATGAATAATAAACTGAAATGAAAATAGGAAATGAAAAATATTTTTTATTTCTTTTCAAATACATACAGAAACAATGCTTACCTGAAATTTAATAATTCATTAATCATCGCTGTATATTCTAAAAAATTAATTTACGAAAATAGATATTTTCTAACTTTAAAAATATATGGATCGAAATTTTGTCAAAATTATCGCAGCACTTCCTTTTTAGTACTACATTATCTAATCTTACAATACGGCCATCGAAAGCGGTTTTGTCCGAAATATACTGGCAAGTAGGTCGAATTTTGAAAGTGAAATTCGAAAGGTTATATTAAATTTATTAGAGACAAAGACAAATATTAAACTATTTATTTGGGACAAAGAAATATGAAGCTACTTTGAACTTACTTACAGTACAGTACATTTTTACCTTTTTAGTATAAGTTGTTTTTTGTAGCAGTGCTTCAGTAATCTATAAAAGATGGATGTTGCAGATGCACTATAGTTTTTCGTTTAAATTAAATAAGATACGAAAGAAATCCATTTCACTTTATCAAACAATTTGTCAGAAAGGAAATGTATAGACAAATATGTTCATATAGTTTAATTTTATGTAAATGTATTTAAGGCAGGTTGAATACAAAGCTGTTAGGAATAGCCAATTGGTCAGTTTTACTCACTAATTTCATCCAATTTCTATTAAAACTACAATCATACTATCGGAGCAATATATTATACCTTAGATATCTAAAGGATATCATTTGCTTCAGTGAAATGTAATTTCATCATTCCTTCGCTTTTGTGTTTCCCACAATCTTCATCATACTATCTTTCTTTATTCAAAGGAAAGCTTTATAACAAACTAGAAATAATCTTTCTTAACTCAACTTGAGCTAAGTTTTAGCATTTTGTTTTCTACTAAGTGTAATTATTGTTTCTTATCTCCTAAAACTGAAACGGATGAGCAATATTGAATAACCGAAATTTTATATTTCGAGTTTTCCACTTTGTACATCCAATTAATTGACAAAGCTAGCGAATAATCGACTAATAATGGATAATACAATCAATTTTGAATTTATATTCAGAATTTCGAATGTCAGCAGATGAATTCTGTTCTATTAATTCATATCATAGAGATCTTAAATTAAATCAAAACTTAAATTTTATGATTTCAAAATTTTGCTTTGAATCTTTTTGTTGGTTTAAATATTTGAAAAGAAAATTTCTTGATTTTTTTTAAAGCATGTGTTGTTATTTATATGTTATTATTAAAATATGCCTTGCTGTTTAGTTCATGCAAATGAATGAAACACATTTTAGGCTTCTTCCCATTAGGGAATTGATCGTTTACTACTTTCAAGCAATTATCATTTCTTCAGGATCAATCAAATTCATAATATTTGGATGGTATTTTAAATTCATTTCATTTGCTATGTTATTTTAAAAGATCTCGTTGTAACCGAAATTACAAAACAAACAAACAAGTAAACATAAACTTCTCCTGGATTCAAATAAAAAATATCACTCAAAAATGGATTTTCTACTAAAAAAAGTTTTCAAGATGACCAAAAAATTTGAGATACGGAAAATTTAAAAAAAAATAAATGGATTTTATCAATATTGTTGATAATGATATTTATTTAAATTAATTTAAATAATTTAAATTTCACATAAAGTAATGAATTTCGTTTACGACAACCAATGATGCAACAATTTATATCGATTATTAGTGAAAGTCAGAAAGTTTGTGAAATTTCTTCAATGCTAATGAAATTGATGAAGCATACAAGAAAATGCTCTAAATAAAAGCAACTTATGGTTTTCTTTTCTCTCTTTGTTCACTTCTCATTTATTCTATAAATTAAAAAAATAAAATTCTTTTTCAGTTGATTTAACAACAACCACCAATTCCTTTTATACTTCTATAATATTAATAATTATTGTTTGTGTAAAGCATATAAGTGTTCATTTTATTTACATTTAGATTTTAATATTATAAATTATTATTTTGACATTTTGTATATTATCAATATCTGTCAATAATTTATAATACCAAATTAATTATGCCAATTTGCCCTTTTATTATTTGAATATACTGTATGGGGAGAAGAATTCGAATTCTATTGTTTTTAGGTTAAATGAAAAAAAAGAATTAAAGTTTTTGATTAAAATAGATGATATAAAATCACACGTGAAATATCAATATATCTTTAAATTATTCTCATCCATACTATATGACCATATCGCTACAGTGCCAGAATTTTACTGCCTATTTCTTCTAAAGTATATATTCTTTGGAATAATATCTCATATAACTCAATTAGAACTTTGAAATATTGCTCACGTCATCTTGTCTTCATATGATAGAATGCCTTGAAGATGGATGGCCACATGTAGAACTATAATACACTTATGATTCCCTTTTATAGCTATATGCAGTGAAGTATGAAAATAGCAAAAAGCTAATTGAATTGCAGGTAGTATATGCATGCTATATTTTGAGATGTTATATAAGAGAATCCGATTGCTAAATCCATATTTGGAATTACGTAACACTAAAAATTATTCAGACAAAAAAAGCAGGCTATCCATTAAAATTGTGTTCGTGCAAGCATACATTTGCAGAAAAAATTTTGACCAGAAAAGAGATTCTTCATTACCGGACGGAGTCGAAACGGATTTAGATGCCGATTTAAACGATCTTACAGTAATGCCTTCTCGTTTACGTCGTTCATCCAGTATGCCGAGTGTATCTGATCCTATCATTAGTAAGTTATCATTTGAAGTAACCTTTGCAAACAAAAGCTAACTTTTTTTCGATGTCGAAATTTTATTTTTTGTACTTCTGTACGTTTCAGCAATTTCTCCACCCATTCTACAGTAGTTGCCGTATATTACAGGACCGATTTTAAAACATTATGATTATAACTCAAGATTGAACCGACTCCAAAAACGATTCCTTCGCTTTACCTGGCATCGTTTGCAAACCAGAAATGGTGGAAAACGAATAGCAAGTGTTTTTGAAGAGGTCATTCATATTGTATATCTTTATCATTTATCCTTGTTGATCATTTTAATTTAATCTTTTAATGATTCTATTTGAATTTTATCAATTTCATCCTATCTTCAGATGTTCATTCATTTCTTTCTCTTTTCCATATTACTCCTTATTCTCCCTTTCTTTATAAGTTTAATCTTATTCAAATTTCAATTAAACTTGAAGTATGTTTTTAAATAAAGAAACGAATAGTTGATTTAGGTGTATGAGCGTCTTCTAAAGCAGTTACCTGGAATTTGGAAAATGTTCACAACACGAACTTTTTTATCTGCAATGTCACGAAGCGAAATTGCTACACCACGGGATCATGCAAGGGTATTCTTTAATTTAAATGAAATAATAATTAAAAATTAAATTCATCCTTTCTGACCCACATAGTTAGCAATAAATTGTAAAAATATTGTCTTGCAAAGATACTGCATGAAAAAAAGAATGAATTATAGGAAACAGTGAAATTGATCGATTATGCGATTAAGAATTTGGAATTAAGCGACAAAGGAAGGAATGACACAGGCAGTGATTACGATCCTTTCTTACTTGGTAATTTCACTTTTAATTTCAAATGAATAATTTTACATTTCAGTAATTATTGTTTTGAAAATAGGAATAGAAAGTTTTCCTAAACATTTGTTGAAAATTACTGGAAAGAATAGAAGTTATATAAATGAAAACTAAAATTAAAAAAGCTAATCTGCTAAGTAAAAATTAAGAAAACTAATATGCTAATCTGCTAAGATCTTAAATATTATCAGAGTCAAAAAAATGATTTAAAATTAAATATTTGTACAGTAATTGGAAGAAAGTGCTTTTCCAATACATTTGATTAATTATTCAGCAATTCTTACTTACAGGTAAAATGCATGGTAGACTTCGGCCATATGGTTTCACCGGAAATTACTGGGAGAAACTTGGCGAAATTATTGTTGATGTAGTGCTAGTACAAGAAGCTGTTAGAGATTTACCTGGTGCTGGCCAAGCTTGGGTCATATTCATTGCATGCCTTGTTGACCAGGTATGTGTGGGTGTTTCATTTGATATTATTACAAAAAGTGTTCTTAACAATTCAAGACATTTAAGGGTCAAAGATCAAATATGACTAATCAAAATAAAATCTGAAAGTATATTATAATAAGTGAATAGTTCTGATCATAACTGCTAACAATTTAATGGAAATAATTCAGACTGCTCACAATTTAATAGAATCTGTTGCTTAAACTGATAGACTGCATTATGCAACCGTACTTTTAATAAATTAAAAGCACAAAAAATAAAGACATTTAGCAATAATTAATTAATTATGATTCATAAGTGTATGTAATCGAAAAATGGCGCATTTGTTTCAAAGTAAAAATATTTTTCTTATTACAGTTAATACAATATAACATTTTTCTTTCCTTTTCATTACTCCTACAGCTAAGAGCTGGATTTGACGATAGTAAAAGCGGCTTAACATCAACGACTGGAACGCTCCAACAGAAGTTTATTTGTGGTAGTGCTAATTCAAACAATGCAGTAAATTTTCATCAACATTCACTTCCATCCGCTGATACACCTTGTTATTCATCACCGAGTCATGTTTGTTTGCTTTAAATATCTAAATATGTTTAAAAAAATTTAAATTTTTTGAAGACATAAAATTAATTTTAAAGAAAACCATGAATAAAATATATTTCGAAGAATCGTCAATTTATTTCAATTATTTTTAGAACACGTCTTCCATGTAATTATAGTGCTCACTAATATAAGCTTAAACCTGGTATTAAAATATATTTTTAAAACTGATCGTCTTATTTCAGTGCTACGGCAGTCAACCGTTTCCATCAGAATACACTTCAACACTAGAATCGGAAACAAGTGATAGCCCAACTTTCGATTCAAGTATGTCGTCGAAATGGCATGAAGGACGAAATTGTTCTATGTCTGGACCCGCAGCAGAACATAATACTTCAACATTTCGAAGTAGTAAACGGAGTTCAGCACGTTTCTTGAAACACTCTAAAGGTCAATAAACTTTTCATCTGAATTCATTTATCACCTGAATTCATCACGGAATTTATCATCTGTTCATGAGATATTTTAATTTTTTTAAGTAAATTAGAAAATGATCACTTGTTTCGCAAGGTTAATTCAATTGTGAGATGCAAATATAAATTGATACTATCAATCGTAAGTAATCAATACCTCCCATTATTAATTTTAACTTTGGAAAAAAATTTGATCACTACAGGTATATGTAATCTCAATATTCAGATCAAGCTTAATTATGCCAGTGAAGATAATCAATATCATACTACTTTATTTCAGAATTCGAGTAATACTCAGGTATTAAATCCGGAATTAACCATGGGATAATATATTTACAAGAAACAATTCGTTGTAATTTTGCTATTATTATTATTTTATCTGTAATAATAATAATAAATTTTAGAAAAATCAGTTTTCTGCAAAAAAATTAGAATAAGAAAGGTCAATGAACAAAAACTTCTGAACAACGATTTTTTGTTAATTCTTATTAATTAGTGGAGAAATGAGTAAAGACATATTATTGGTGCTTGTTATCAAAATTATTATTATTGTTTCAATAGCATCAAAATATCATAGGTAAACAATAACACAATCAATTAAAAGTGAATAAAGTTTAATGAGAAATTCAAAAGTAACAATTAAATCTTAAAAAACAAAAGACGATTTAAAATGAATCCCAAAATTTTATTTAATTCTTTTTCTTTATTTAAACTGCTAGTCATTTCAATAAACATTTTTCCCTCTTCAGAATTACTTTTGAATTAAAATTTTAGTGATTAAAATCCTCCATCAAATTGCTTAAAGATAACAAGGTGGACAAAAGGAGAAAGACTAAAGGGCTAGCAATTAACTAATTTATTGGTTTCAGAAGTCCTTTAAAGATGAGATTCTTTGTGAATTCCTAAAATTATATTGAACGTTCCAATATAATCAAAATGAGGCCTAAATATATTTAAAAACATGATAAGTGTATCAAGAAATACCGCGTAGCAGAAAATTGTAGTTAAAATGAACTTCAAAAAGCATCAGACAACATGTCTCTATTAAATTCAGATAAATCATATTACTCATATCGGAATGCATGATATCTATCTCTGATATATACATATCTGTCCAACATCTTTCACTCAATATCCATTTCAATATTAATGCTACAAATTGATTAAAATATTGATTGCATAGATTTACAATTAAATGAAAATCATCAAATCGTTCTCGAATTGTTTTAGAAGCGTAATTTCAAATTTATCGACTATTTTGGAGTAAAATGGTTTATTTCAATAATATTTTTAAAAAATCAATAATTTAAATTAGCGATAAATGGAAATTCGAATTCAGAAATAACAAGAAACAATTAGATTATCAAAATAAAGTGAATGATGCATTGGAATGGATAATAATTTTAATTTAGCTTACATACCATACCATTTCGATCTCATATTTCATTCAAAGACAATAATTATTCCTTAATTAAATTAATTAATAAAGTAAAGGTTTATTTCATTTCCTGCAAATTAAATTTCAAATGTTTTTTCATAGAAAGTTGAAACTGCAATATCATAAAGCTATTCGAATCTTTTCAAATGAGAGAAGAGAACCAAATTAGGATGCAATACATTTGTAATAGTGAGATAATTAAGAAAAAGAAGATAGATCGAAAAGATATGACTAAAGATCTGATAGAGGGATCAGAATGAATCTGTCAAGATATTTTCATTTTAGTTTTTGTTTACTGAATGAAGACAAAACTGTTAAATGGGTATTCCAATATCTTTGATACTCAATGAAACAATTTGATATTAATTAATATAATTCATTTTTCGTTCTCAGATTTAATTGAACTCGAATAGCAATCTCCAACGATAACGATCTGGAATGTATTCTTAGGTCATGAACTATTGACAGCAAAAGTTTCATTATTATTTTGCTCGACAAAAAAACTTTGACACGGCTTGTTCTACTAAGAGTCTAACGTTCAGGCTCATACTTAAGAAGTGATCAAAAGTAAAAAACAAAATTGTCCATCTTTGCACGGTTTTGATGGTAATCGATCTTACAGTTACAACACATTTAAGCGAGAAATTTGTAGAATCAGTGAACAGGTAATTACTAGGTGTTTAAAAAACGGACAACCAATAAGTCTAATTTTAGTATTATGCATTTTCTGAAGATTCTATAAAAATTTCTTCAGTATATGAAATTTATATAAATCGTGTAGGATAGAATTGTCGTAAATGAGCTCCCTTACTTTATTTCTATTTCATTAGTAATGGATGAATAATAAATGAAGTTGATTTAGAAATTTAATGCGCATATATGACTAGTGTATTGTTTCGTGTTATATTCATTTACAGCACTTCCGGATGACCTGAAATGGCAGTAAGTGAATGAATAATTTAGAAGAATAAGATAATTGTCTAAGTTACAAGAAAAACATTGTTTCCGAAATCTTGCACATTACAGTTATCGTTATGTCTGACCTACTTAGGTTTTACTTAACTGAAGCTTACTGATTTGCGCTACCGAATCACTTCATATGTTCATTTAGAAAATGCCTCATCCATAACAAATCTAAAACAGTTGAATTAGAAAAAAAATTTTCACCTGAGCCACCTATGCATGAGCCACATAGCACTTGCGGTTAGAGCCAGAAACGCAATAGCCATAAAACATATGAGTATTGCGGATAATGTATTACTTATACACACTTCTGGCATTCCTTGCCTTAACCGATCACTGTTTCCATCTGAAAAATTCCAATTTTTAATTAATAGACTTAGGTATTAATGAATATGCAAGAATTGCTAATGAAATGATTACGATAACCTTCATCTTCATCATCAGCGTCTAACACATAAACAGGTTGTGATATTAAATCGGCATCAACCATAAGCTTTGATTTTTCAGATATAGGTGATCGCATTAATCGACGCTTTTTTGATTGAACCTGTAACCTTGTCATCTGCAACGGTATTAGAAAATAAATAAAAATATTTTTCAAAATTTTTGAACTTGAATATTTAGTTCCACTCTAATTCCTTTTTTCCTCACTCTTCAATTATTTTCTTCATAAACAGTATTCCTCAATGACATTTTAAACTTATCGATCAAAATTAATGAAAATTTCAAAAAATTCCGAAAACATAATGAGGAAAAAAATTTAAACAATCAGTTAGATACCTACTCATTTTCAAATTTTTATATCTGCAGGTGAATAGTTTAAGCGGTAAGTAAGAGAAGTTAGTTAACTCACCTTAGTGACATTTCTCACTTTTGTTGTGTGATGTACTATCGATTCACCCGTTGTTGTTAGAAATAATTCGTTCGTTTGCTCTTTCTCATCGACACACATCGGTGGCTATAATTTCGATTTTTTTTTTAAATAAAAAATGAGAAGAGAAAAGTTTGGAGACAGCGATGATGCAAATACTTGATATCACTCGTATACTTCCTTTTAAATGTAATGAGGTTGAAAGGTTGTTTTGAGGGCAAAAAAGTTGGAGAAACCTAACGTTAAGTTCTTTTATCTAATATGCCCGACACATAAGTAAACAAGTAACTTCCAGCAATAGTAAACAAATAACTTACAGTAATACCGACACAACCACCAGCATCTTTGATACATAAACGAATTTGGCACTGGAATCGAACGATTACCCGATCAGCAAATTTGAACACTAATGATTCGCGATATGCCATATTGAGAGATTCAACATATGTCGGATCACCCAAAACTGCTCTATCTGTATGACATCTGAAATACTCTTATAAAATTTTGGTGTTAGTACATTTAAAAATTAAAAGTTCAATAGCAAAAAGGCTAGAAAATATTAGTCATATATTTTAAATTTAATCAGTTAGTATCATAAGATGTTATACCCATTTTCATCAATGATAATTTGCTTTTCTCCTTGTCCATCTTCCACATAACAATTATACACCAACAAACCATAAACATCTGAAATATGTAGTTTGAAGGAATTAAAAATTATTCTATTTTTCGTATCTGAGCGAAGAAAAAAGAAATTCATACCAGACAAACATTCCCATCGATGAACGATTTGTTCACCAACTCTTGCATACTTTAATATTGGTCCATCAATTTCATCTCTTCGAATTGTATAGATGCAATTTGGGAATGGATAATCATATTCCACTGCTTGTGTTGCTATCGCACTACAAGAAATCATTTTTGCTAAGAATTTCAAAAATTTCAAGTTTTTAATTTAAAATTTTATTGAAATAAATAAGTAAACATATTCACAAGTATTTTCTCCATGTTACTTCACAACATAATGCGCAACACATTTATATTTTCGTCAAATTTTCCAATTTCCGCCCAAATTTATAATAGTTCTCAATTAGGAGTTCGATGATATCCGGAAGTCGTACAATTATGGTGACCTAGAAGTGAATGCGCTTGCAGTTTCGTACCAAATCACGAAAAACTAACCTCACTTCGATTCCAGAAGAAACTGCTCGTACGATCTCTCGGTACATGCATCTGATATGAAATGCTCGATCAAGTTTCGTTATGAATAACTGAAATTTGCAAGATTGTGCATGTGTGTTTAAATAATTTATGGAGCAGAGAAAGAGAAAAGTTTATTTATCAGCTCAAAAATTTAGACTTAAAATTTGAGGGCTAAATATCGAATCTCCCATTTTATCTTTCATTCCTTTTTCCTACTCCTTTTACCTTTTCTCTTCCTTTTCTTTTCCTGTCTTTTATCGTTGGTTAAAAAATTTTTTCGTTAAATCTTAGGTTATAAATAAGTGTGCCAGTACCAAATCCAGTTTGACAAATTTATAACTAGAGGAAATGTTATGAATTATTTAGCGGCAACAATTTTTAATTGAAATAACATTCAATTGAAAGGTCATAAACCCACTGGATGAAAACTGATAACAAGGATTGTCGAAAATTGCATTCCTTCCGGTTGGATCTGTAATTAAAGTAAGAGAAGTGTGACAAAAGATTTAATTAAAAATAGATTCAATTGCTCTTAAAAGGAGAAAGTTAGAGAGCGAAATTCATATTAAGTTCACTTTTAATTCAAAGCATCATACCATTCTTTGCCGATTCATATCGCACTGTCCATGACTTAACGTAATGCTACCTACTGGATTTTTGTTATCTAATACTGCAGTGCCGTAATCCACTCGACAATTTGGATTGCTATAGTGACCTTTTACAAACACTTTACCTAAATATCAATTTCAAAATTTGTGATCCGTTGGCTAAATTATTATTTTCAAAAATATTCTAATAATAATTTGTGAATATTCAAATCAACAAATTTAACAAGTAAATATTATAGTCAACCACATATCAAAATGATAAAATAAAAAAATTATTCGGTTTTTTGAATTTATTTAAGTTAAAAATTTGATTAGGAATGATAAGATAAAAATGAACAATAGAGTAAATAGAATAATAAAATAATATGGAATTAGAGAAGAAGATTATGAAGATGTGAGATATGAGTTTTACCTCGAAATTCTCGTCTAGTCTTGAATGATAATTCAATTGTGTCCGGATTGCATTTTATTTCCGGACTTTCAATCAAACCATTATCCATTTCTGTCGTCAAACCCGTCTGCAATAAATGTAACATTACTTTGACTATTTAATTGTTGAATTAAATATTTTCTGAAATAGATATGAAGAAAAATTAAAACTCAATTGAAATTCACATGGCTTGATATAATTTAACAAAAATTATTAATGGATTTTATTTATTGATTTTTTTCTTCTCTTCTTAGTGTCTTCTAATTTATGCAAACTATTTATTAATTCTATTGGACTTTCAAAAGCAAAATCTTTGTAATAAACAGATTTAAAAAGGAAAAAATAATTGTTCCGAGTGAGCCACAAATGGTACCTTTTCATTCATACGCCAATTTATTATCATTTTTGAATATTTCAAATGAGCAAAATCAATTTAATTTTCAAAAGAATGATGAGGAAAAGGATGAGGAATTCTTAGTTCGCATATTTTTATTAATCATCAGTGAGGCAAGAAGATGTCAAGGTTTATCATTTCTCATTTCAACAACATCAACCTTCGTTTTTTCAGAATTAAGTTGATCGGAATAATATATATAATAAAAATAATGATTATTTTCGTCTGCTTCAGACAAAAATTTCTTAATCATTCAATACTAATGCAATTTCGTCGATTTCAATAAATATGGATTTATGATCAACATGAATTATATAAATTTTAGGCAGAAATTTTTGATATTAGAATGCCGGTTAGTTTCAATTTCTACAAATTCCATTTAAAATCCTAATATTTTATTTTTAAATTTATATTCATATTCTCTTATGTTCTCATTTTTTACTCATACCATTTATGTTTTCAGGTTGAATCATTTTTCAGGATTTATATTAGTTGTAAAATTCGAAAAATAAAAATAATGTTATAATAAATGAATTTCACAATCCATAGATTGAATAGTGGACGAACTTACTTCTGATGATTTTCGCAAGATGAACCATAAGGAGCATAAAAGATTGGAGAAGCCATACCTCAAAAACATTTCCAATCCTTCTCCTGACTTTTGCAAAGAAAATTTTTGAATTTTAATCATAATTTCATCATCTGCGCACATAAAGCGTTTTCACGCAATCATTGATAAGATGAAAAAAATTAAACGCAAAGCAAACATATCAATTTATATATCATTTAACAAAATGTATCACATCTATTCTTATTGTTAAATATTTCAACATCAGAAATAAATGGATGATATTTAAAAGCATTTAAGTACAATCTATTCAAGAATTTTATTTAATGTATGTAGGAGTGTGTTAATTAAGTTATTATTAATTACATTCACAATTTCAGCACCGTAATTGAACCAAAAATAATTAAAGCAAAAAATGATATAAATGATGAACTGCACTGAAGCGATGTATAAATAAGATAAATTTAAAGTTAGAAATAAACAAAATTTCGAAATGTTTAAATGTTCAAAGATTTTCTGATATGTTACGTACTTTTGTAAGAAAATATATTTTAAGCAAATTTTCTTTTGTTTTTGTATCAAAGTATTTGATGAGATAGAAATTTCAACAGGTTTTTTTTATTTTATTGTTGTCACATTGTCTCGTGAAGATAATTTCAATTATAAGTGAATTCATTAATTAATTATAATATATTTCTTCTAAGAGAAAATAAACAAAGTTAGATTTAAATAACTTCCCGGGAATTTGAAGTTATTTAAATCAAAATATTCGCAAAATTTATGCTGTTTGATTAAAGCCAATCTTACTTTATTTTATATTTTCATAAATTTTTTTTACTTTCTATTTTGTTAATTAATTCTATTATACATAGGAATTGTAGCATTGTGATTAATTTTTGATAATAAAATTATAAGCTATTCATACTTTTTATTACCAGAAATTAAAATTTTCTAATAAGTAATGAATCTGACTTTTACTCTTAACTTTTATCAAATTAAGCATCAAATTTCTATTCGGAATGTGTATTCAGAACTAAGAGCAAAGGAAATTTATCTCCAGAAAATTTTATTCAGGTGCTTTAAAATCTGAAGTAAAGACAAGAGAGAGAAAGAGATTTCGTAGAATTGTTAGAATATTTCCAATACTGAAACCATTATATGCTAGGAAATGAATTTATAAAAGTGACAAAAAATCATATTACTTTTCAGTTCGATACAATTTCATTTGATAGTTTGTTAGGTATTACTGATTTATTATTCAAATCATTCTTTAATTAAATTTGTCATCGAAAATAGAATCCAATCCAATTAGGTGATAAATTTAATTAAAGAATGATTTGAATAATAAAACTGAGCAATAGGTGAATGGCAATGTGATCAGTCTTCATTAAATTTTGCGGTACATTCAATTACGAAGTACTAATCTTTGCGAAAGTGAAATGTTTCAGTAACATTTTTTGACTATATGACTTAAATGCAGAACTTAAAATATGATTTAAAAAAAGAAGCATTCAGTAAAGCAGAGAAGAATCTTGTAATAGTCAGCAAATTGCAGTATTATCTGGCATCTGTGAATCTGGTAACAATGATAAGTGAGTTAGAAAGAAACTGAAGTTAGTTATAAGAAATGCACATTAAAGTGTCAAACTAACATTCATATAATTTGAAGAAGAAAAACAAAAATTGAATTGAACAGTTTTTTTTGTTTTTTAACTGATGACGCTGAACAGTGTACCTTAGCACTGACAATTAACTTTTCAATTTATATTCAAAGGAAATGCGAAAAAGGTTACGACACTCTAGCTAAATAATTGCGAAAAAGTCCTCGATAGGTCAGTAATCGATCTTCTCCTATGTTTTGTAAATACATATCACTTTCGATTGTGTCGTAATTAATAATGATACAAAAATATTTGGTGCAAGGTCATTGTATACCTATATACTTCCAACCATTTGAATTTTTGGTGGTGCAAGGCTAATCACATATATATATTTATAGCTTCAGTCATTTCTCCGTTCAACTTTTCAATTGACCTATCATAGCGGTAATGAACTTTTTTTCTGAAAAATAAAAATCAAATATAACTGAGATGAAATTATAATTTCATATAAAGAATTTCGATTTTAATAAAAGAAGCTGCAATGACATTGTAATAATGTGACAGATTAATTCTTACGATGAAATTTGACGTTATTCGATTACTTTAATATTACTAATGAAATATCTCATTGTTAGCTGGTTCATTTTCTTTTTAAGACTTGATGAAATAAGATTTAAGTTTATGCAAGGAGAAATTATTTCAAATTTTAAGTGAAGAAAATGAAAAGACTAGAGAAAGTTGAGAATGTACATAGATATTTGTAAACAGGTATTATGAATGTCTGTAAGTACTTCAGATATTATTTATCACCCTTAAACTCCATTCCTCTTTCATATTTTTACTTTCAAAACAAGCAAGAATTCTTTCGAACATTGGCATTTAATTAATTAATTCAAAAATTGTTTTAACTATTCTATCACAAACTTATATTTCAAATTGAATTTAAAACAAAAATATATTAAAGATTTAGTTACTTATTCATGCAGATATTTTAAATAGTAGCCGAAAATCTATTTAGTATAGGAACAAAATGATAAAACTGATATTTGAAAAAAGACTTTAATAAATTTGATTCGAATATAAACATGAATAAATGTGAGAGATAGAAGTTTTCCAGTAAATTTTCTATGATTTACAGAAGTTGGAGAAGCGAATTATTTGGTTGTTCATCATTGAATTGTACGATGAAGTTCTTGCAGTATGCCTTATAATACGTAAAAATATATATTTCAAATGCAATTTTAATTTCATTCTTCGATTTAAAGAGGAATTTCGTTAATTAAATTTTCTTTTTAAAATAGTGCTTTTTTTGAAACTATGAAAGCATTAGATATTTTCAACTGTTATTTATTTATTGTTAAAATTCTTAAATTGATTATTAATTAAATGGCAATGAGTATAAAGGTGAAAAGAACAGAATGAAATCTTTCATTGATAGTTCATATCAATTTATGAAGTACTAAGGAAAAAGAAGAAAATGAAAATTTCCTTGAAATTGGAGAGAAAAAAATTTAAGTACAAAAAATGAAAAAGGCACAAAAAAGGTATATATACAGGTAAGCAAAAGTGATAATCGACTAAAGCCAACGTTGTATCCATCGAAAGATATTGAAATATTTAGTAACTTTCGAAAAAATTAAATAGCAATTGAAAGATGGATAAGTTAAAAGTTAGATTTGATAAGCTCAATTTCTCATATACCTGTGATGAGGCAAAGTTTCACATTTACATTCGAGAAAACTACTAGTACTATAGAAATAGTACAATAGCCGTAATGGCCAATATGATGAGAGTAGTATTTTGAATGAAAGTGTCAAGGTAGGGGGTACCTTATACGGTGAAGCTTTTGTATAAAGATGATTGAGGTGGAGTAATAGGAAAGAGAACCGGATAGAATAGAGGGAAATCATGGAATACTGATTTGTCAGTCCCAGCTGAAAATGATAAACGTTCAATTATGTCGAGAAATGGAAGGATTGAGAATGAATAAATAAAGGAGCAGAAGAGAAGGACTCATACATACATCGACGATTCAATCTATAATACAATTGAAGAAGGTTACTTTTTCTTTTATTGTTATTGGTTAGTTGGCGATAGTTTGAGAGTGTCACTATGAGGTACTTCACGTCCAAATATACTTATTAGTAATGCATGTATTATGTTGTAGTAATTGACCCAAGGCATCATCTATACATTATTATTCTTAGTTTATTCCTCATTTTACATTAAAACATCAAACATTGACGCAATTGCGCTGTTAATAATAGCTATTGTTTGAAAAGGAATTTTTGAAAAGTTAAATAATTAAGGAATGTATAAGAATAGATAATCATTGAAATGATATGAAAATATTACAAATTATTCTCTTCATCGATTCCTTTTTTCTTTTTGTTTTTGAGGTGACAATTCTAGGTTCTGACAACTTTTAAACAATTCAAAATGATAGGCAAAAGAAGAAAGTGATTGATATTTTAAAGAGAATATTTAACTAATCAGAAAATTCACAAATGAAACAATTGTTATTATTTTGAAAGTAATAGCTAATTAAGGAAATAAATTATCTCAATTTCTGTTTACTCCAAAACAAATTCATATCGACAAATTAAGATATTAAACTGTAATCGTAATTTTTATTGATTGAAAAGGTTTAAATTAAATCAATTCTTTACTTAAATTTGAAATACAGAATATCGAAAAATGAACATTTATAGAAAATAAGAAATCGGAACAGGGATAAAATAAGAGAGGTTTAAGAGTCGAATAATAATCATCGTCTATCAACGCATGGATCATTTAAAATTGCGATTTTGAAGGACACAGAAGAGCAAACAATAATACAGTCCACAAAAGCCATGCTATTATTAAGGGGTTGGATGAATGAATATTAGAAACAGTGAGAATGTTTTAATAAAAATAATTTATATCCATTTAAATAAAATTAAATGAAATATTTCCCATCAAATAATTTTCATAACTATATTATAATAACTTTTACCATTCTCATCATAATTTTTATAATTTATGCCATATTCAATGCATAATAAACGATGAAAAAATAGTTTTTATATGTGTCTAATAATTTTATTCAAATTTCATCCTAATTTTATTATAACTTTTACACCGATACATGAGAAATTATTATTTTCTTCATCCTTGCGAAATTCATCACAAAAAATTGCTTTTTAATACTTTTTAATTCATTCATGCAACACTTATCAGTAATGATCATATTATAGAGATCGTTGTATAATGTTCCAATGTAATCACTATTACCATATTATTATCATACTATCAGCATCGCTATTGTTTCTGTCAAAAATAATCCATTTTATTTAATATTTAGAATAATAGAAATATGCACAATACTAATCGTGAACTGATAAATGGTTGCAAAATATTTGGATATCGCTATAATCCGTTATTTTCATTGTCGTAATTAAATTCATAGCCAGTATGAAATAAAAAATTTGC